TGTAAATGAAACATTTTTTATAACGCATTTTAATAATATTGTTTATAATACTCTTAATCCATAACCTTAACAGATCACTGTCGGTAGTTTTGTTTTGCATGCGTTGTTTGTGCTTTCAAGAAGTCCGTGGGAAAAAAGGCATAAAAGGCCCTTAAAAAGTGTGGCTCTAAACCTCAAATCACTGTCACCAAAATCATTGTTTAGACGTTGACGGGTCCGAAAAACACAAATGTGGAAGAATCTGTTTGCATTTCTCTATGCCACGGCTAACTGAAAATGAAAGGTGGCAAGCCATTGGAATGCTTGAAACGGGAACACGCCAGCGCAACGTTGTGCAGCAGTTTAACGTGCACGGGAACACCATATGCCGCTTGTGGAGACGTTATCAACATCACCGAAAGACATTTCCACTGTGTATACGTTTTTGTCTTCAGTATGATATCCTTTTCTGAATTCGAAACATCCGCTTCTTGGAGTCATTGCACGACCACTTATCATGATTGAATCATGATTTAGATACGTTGTAGCCCGTTCAATAGATAGTTTGAACTAACCATAACATAAACTATCGTCCAAACGAAAGTATACCACTAGTTTCGAAATCCAATTAAGAAACAACAATTACGATTTCAACAAAATATGTTTTATATTTCATTGGAGTATTCATTGCTGCATGATTTGAACATAAACACAATTCAGAAATAACAATGATAAATAAATGAAAAGGAAACGAACACGTGTGTGTGTGTTTGTTCCAAAAATGGATCAAAACAATAAAACTGAACAATCAGAAAGTTTTTTAAAATGCCCGGTACACAAGTTAGAGCCATGTATAAGTAGCGAGTATGTGCTACTTGAGCATCGACACAAGCAAGAATACGTCGGCGCATGGATGACGTCAAGCGTCTAATGACGTTGCGTAGAATCTGTTCCAGCTGTCGCACGTTGACTGGGGGTACTGGTCTGTTTCTAGTCTGCCTGCCGAGGTGGTCCCACAAATGCTCAATAGGGTTCATGTCTGTGAACACGCTGGCCATGGTAAGAAGTGGGCGTTCATGTTGTTCAGGTAGTCTCTTGTCAGTCAGGGCCCACTCGCACAAAAACGATCGTAGCTACAATCAATTGTAGGCATTTGCAATCGAAATTACAATCGCGATCGTAACTCTTACAACTCTTGCACAAAAGCGATTGTAGCACAGTTGTAACTCATCTCATTTTAAGTTACAATCGTAATCTTCTGTGCTGAAGATAAGATTGTCCATAGCAACATAGACAACAATTTAGAGTTACGTCCATTAAATGGATTCGTAACCAAATGTGAAGAGTGAATTCGTGGCCATTTTCAGCAAACTATTATGAAAGTTAAAAACTTATATTCATTGTTTTCATTTTTTTTTATCGTATTTGAGACATTAAATTCATACCTTTGATAATTTTGATAAATATTGCATATCACTAAATCTATAGGTTATCAAAATTACAATAAAAAAAATTATACATTGATAAGAAAAAGGGGAATAAACCGAAGCTTATATAAACATTAATTATTATTTTCGTTTCAGTTGACTTTATTTTCACTTAAGAGGCCACTTGTTTGAACAACTGCTTGAAAATAAAAGGTATTTTGATATCTCTTTGAAATTATTGCAAAATCACCAGCTCCGATGTGCTTTGTTATCAATATTTGATAATTATCTGATGTGATTTTACACGTGTGTATGTGTGTTATTTATTTATCTATCTAAATTATGTGCTTAAATTTGAATACATCTTCAATACAAAGGAATAAAGAATTATTGTTTATTTGGGTACGAGTTCGTTTTGGGTACGAATTCGGGGTGGAGACGAGTACCTATAAGGTACCAATATTCGGCTACAGCCGTTTTCGCTTTGACACTATTATTCCCACTTATTTTTTGTATATATGAAACTTTATTCTTTCCCATATTTCTCATAATAACGAAACTGTTTTTTACAATTCTTTTATATCGTAACATTTCAGTGTTATGTGATCAAATCGTTACAACATTAACTCCCCTATTCTATATTTAGATACAAGGGAAGCTACTCTGAAATTAAAGTTTACCTCAAGTTGGCGTCACATACGGCTTGAACATTTATAGCGTGGAAGCCTTTCCGACAAACGTAGGCCACTTCTTCGTCTGCAGGTGGTCGTTTAATGGGAATAAGTGTACCATCAATTGCCCCAATAACGCGGGGAATTTAGCTATTTTGTAGAAGTCTTGCATTCTAATGTAGTGATCACAGGCTTCACTACGATATCGGATCACTATGGAGTAAGCCGCGGTTTGCACCTTGTAAGTACTTAGGCCCAAATCTACGATCTTAGGTAGACCCCTGAATCAGGCTGTGTATACTTACAAAATTGCTTCCACGAACTCGCTGTGGTGATCGGCTGTCTTCGGTACCTTCCGTCTCGGGTCACGGCCTTCAACTTCAGTTGACGACCCCGATCACCACACTAATTTTATTTGCGTCAGGATTGAACTTGATGTCCAAAACGTTGTTTATGGCACGGATTGTCCGATGGACGGAGCGGGACACAGAGGACTCGTGAACGCCATGTAGATCACCTATTTCAATTAAAAAACCTCCTTTACTCAGGTAACGAAGAGTAACCAGCAACTGAGTTTCAGGGGAAATGGCATGTGAACGCTTGGTTCCATGTTCGATGTGTGGCCGAACTTTCTCCAAAAGTGAAAATATGGCATGCCGAGGCAACCTATACCTTGAAATGAGTTCACCTTCCGTCAATAACTTCAAATGTGATGTTCTATCTCTAAAAATGCGTTTAATTTTTTCTGAGACTTCCTCGGCAGCCATGTACGGCGCCATTTTTACCATCGATTGTAGGCACTTACAATAGGTAGTGGCAATTGTAGGTTTCAACTGTAACTTAAAACTATTGTAGGCGTACGATCGCTTTGTGCAAGAGGCGGGTGACCTTACAATTACCTTACAATCAGAGTTACGACTATTGTAGAGATACAATCGTTTTGTGCAAGTGGGCCCTGGTGGTATGAGGTCTTGAATTATCATATTTGGAAGACAATGCCACGTGACTGTTGGTGAATGAATGGAAGGACTACCGGTCACAGAATGTCATCCCTGTACCTCTGTGCAGTAAGGTTGCCACGAATGATGACTAGCCTTGTTTTCAGTTCACCACAAAATCCTCCCCACACCATAACACCACCTCCACCATGCGCCGGAACTTCCTGGATACAGTCAGGAGCCCATCCTCGATAATCTCCAGGGTATACGTTACGATCACTGTCCACTATACCCTGGATGCATTCACGGCTTGGCCCGATAATTATATTACCTCCCTTTGCTGGCTCCACATTCTCACAGTAGCCAATCAGCTAAGCCGCCGTTACATCCAAGCTTGCCAGTGTCAACAAAGATAGTGGTCGCAGTCGCGAAGGTTTGTTCGCAGTGCCACTCATATTTTTGGGGAAATCATACTGACAAATTGACAGATCTGAAACTTTCAAACAATATATGAAAGACCTCATTCTACCTCTTTCAGAGTACCTCGGCATCAATTGTGTTGCCAAGTTTAAACGGTTAGATAATTTAATAAGCGAAAGTGAGTTGTGATTGGTTCGCTCAACTTCCCAGCGCAGACACCTGATTGGATAAAAAGCCAGCAAAGGGGGGTAATAAAATCATCGGGCCAAGCCGTGGATGCATCCAGAGTATAGTGGACAGTGATCGTAACGTATACCCTGGAGATTATCGAGGATGTTAGGAGCTAAACGTTCTTTAATACGTCTGTAGACACGTTGACGGCCATCAGCTGTGAATACGCAGAACCTGCTCTCATCCGAAAAGAGGACACGTGACCAGTCTCGGAACTTGTCTTGCTCACTCGAGCCTGTTACGCCGGTGTTGTTGTGTCAGTACCACCCCACGGTATGGACGTCGTGCTTGAATACCATGTTCACGCAGTCGTCGTGATACTGTCTGTCACACTGATACGATGTCCGAGTGCCGTTACTGCCGTTGCTGTTGATGAAGCGGTCCCTGAGGTGCATTACTCGTATGTAGCGGTCCACCCGCAGTCTGCCACTTCTCGGCCTGTCTACTGTCTGCCCTGTCTGGCGGAGACGCTGAAACAACCTGGTGATGCATACCCTGGTGCAACCGATGGTTCTCGCGATGAGGGCATGTGACGCTCCTTGTTGGGCCATTCCTCGGGCTCTCTGTACTGCGGTCAGGCGTGGCATTTTGTCTTGTGTGCTTTTTTATTCTGTGACAATGCCTTGTGTCATCAGCTGATTTTAAACGGTTTTTCTGCACGTGCATTTTGTGGAGCACGTGCATGTTACGTTTTCAGATAATGAGCGTTTGAGCGAGACGAGAAATTAGTCATTACACATCAGTAGCCATTGCCCTGGCACATCTTTCTGTAAACTATCCTGGATCTAGGTTCAAAATTATGATTTTAACCGGCAAAAATATTTGGTATACTTGCTTTTGGACAGTAGTATATATCATGCAGTTTTTTTCCCTGATCGTTATATTATTTATGAATAAAACGCAAAATATAAAATACTTTTGAGGGTACTTGGCGCGACAGAGTCGAAAGTTGGGTTCAAAACATCATTATTTATTACTTGTACACTTGTCACTCAGCTTTGTCACTTGGAGATTCAGGATTTGCATTCATACCAGGCTATATATTGTGTCCATGAATCGACTTGGACGGTATATTTAGTCATAAAGCAAATGAAACAATTACTGACGTCATGTGTTGTACGTTACAATCAGATATCAGGGATATCAGTAGAATGAAATCAGTGTTGTCTATTCATGGGTTTTCTATTTCTTTTTTCTTTCTTACTAAGGTAACATTAAAACAGACATAATGATAATGATTTGGTGTTTCATGATACAGCAATATTTGTGTGTGACTTGATTATGTTCCATGTCAAACACATTATTGTAACTGAAAATTCCAAATGACTACTTACCAGGATTTGGCTAATCCCACTCCACATTTGCAGTCTTGATTCCCCACATAATTGTGTGTTTCCATTATGGCGGTACAGACAACGGCCACGTGTATGATACTGACAACATCAGCTAACGCAAAAATAACTCAGACCAGAAAAAGCATGCGTGCACGTTCAGCATACCTGGTTATATAATGTGTCGTCATGTCCCTGGACCGACTCCTGAGGCGTTTATTTGTTTATCCTCTACCCACATACTTCACAACCTTCCCACGTAAAATAACAATCAGTGTGTGTGCGCGTGCGTGCGTGTGTGGGTGTTACTTTGCTCAAGTTTTGTTTCTTTAATAGCACATGCCTCCTGTATCAGATGACAAAAGATAAACCGATGAGTTCAACTTGCGGTCGCCTCCCTTATGTAATGGTTAAAGCGTCCGCTCGGAGAGCGTCGCGGGTTCGATTCCCGGCCGCGTCATACAAAAAGACGTTTAAATATGGTACTTGATGATCCCTGCCTGGCGCTCGGCATTAGATCTAATGGGTACAACAAGGACTGGTTGGCTCGGAGTCTGAGTGGGGTATCCATGCTTAACTGCGACATGGTATCTCAGTGAGCCTCAGCGGTGTGTCTTAAATTTATGAACAAACATGGCTGACGTCACTGGCAAGACGCAGGGCAGCGGCAAATTCAAACTCGCGTAACAACGAAATATTAAAGAACTGACCTTAATACTTGGTGATGTATCCCTTTGCAGCAATTATATTCCTCGGACGGCGTGGGATAGACAAATACAAGTTTCTGATTAGTTCAAAACTTCACAGGTATGTTTTCCCACACGTGTCGGATCTCTCGCTCCAATTCCTAACGGGTATTGATGTAAACAATACGTTGTCGCAGTCGGTATTTCAGCAGATGCCAACAGTTCTCTATAATACTGGCATCTGGAGACTGCTGGCCACAAAATGCCATTTATGTCATTTCTTTGTTAATATTCTGCTACGATACGGGCTCTTTGCACAGGCGCATTGTCGTCTTGAAAAAATATAATTTTCATTCGGGAAATGCCGGACAATGACAGGCCACAACTCGGAATCAAGAATATCAATCTATTTCTGAGCATTTATGTTATAGTACCTTCTACAACAGTTAGTGCTCCACCACCATGCCAAGTGGTCACGTCCGGGACCCAAACACTGAGGGGTGTACTCTGCGCCTAGCATTCTCCACACATTCACACGGTAGTTTTCTCCAATACCTATTTTACATTCATCACTGAAGGTGACTCTTCTCCATTCTTCATTAATTCTCCATCGAAGTTTTCCTCTGGCCCAAGCGAGGCGACTTCTCACATTCACATCTCTAATCCGGATTTTCTTTGGAAAGATACGTCTATGATAATTATTTTCGAATAATTTTTTTCTAATCTTATTCTGATTAACACTTCAGGTGATTTCCGGCAAAGGAGAAATCCGACTGTTTTTTACTAACTTTGTTGACGAGTATCCCGTGCAGTCAGCGATCGACGGCGTCCAGTTCTTGGGCGATATTCTGTGCTTCCACGTTCCAGAAATCGGTTTACAACACTGTAAACTGTGTGTCGAGGTAAACCAAGATCCCGGGCAATCTCACTGTATTTTTGGTGCAGTTGGAACTTCGCAGTAAACAAATCTTTAACAGACTGTGACAATTCTCTTTGTTTTTCCCCTTGCTACCGGAAGTCGCCTGCGTAAACAAGCAGACGACACAAACGTCACGTGACTGTCACGTGCTGAAGTATCATGTTGAATTTCACGACCGTACGTCTGTGTTGCCCTAAAACCTACAATGGGTGGCATGTTCACGTGGCGCCAAGCATGTTGGGGTAGAACTTTCATAATTGCAGTATGTGCATTTCAGTTTTCTGAACTGATTTAAATGAAGGCAGTTCTAAAAACGACGCAACGCAAAACAGAGAATACACAGTGGCAGGTTATTGCCATGCATGACGCGAAGATGCCCTGTCGCAAGATCTGTGCTAATTTGAACACTGACCACGCCGTTATCAGTTGACTTGTGAGGAAGCACGTGGCCAAAGTCAAGTAAATGCAGACCTTTCGTCTTTCTTAATTCATCACCTGTCTTAATTCATCACCTGTCTTAATTCATAACCTGTCTCCCCCTGAAACTCTGAGTTACAATGCTAACACGATATGTCAGGTCACAGGTTCGATACACGTCATGAAATGTTCTCGTTAAAATAATTCTTGACTTACAACCCGCCAAAATATGCATAGGATCCGATTTAATTGTAGCGGTTAAAAAGAAAATAAACCCCACAATACACGTGGTATATAATTCACCGTAAAACCTTTGGTCTTTCTTACTTGAAAGAAGTAAAACCTTCGCACCTATATTCAAAGTCGCCTTTCTTATTCACTGAGTCCAAGTACTTGCTAATTTCTAGTTTAAAATGATAATTAATTATTAGAACTCGTGGACAATGTCCACACTTAAAAATCAAGGGCTAACATCTATTCTTTTATAATTCACTTGAAACACATTGAACCTCCAAGTGTATAGGATGCTGAGCGTGGTTCCGTGTACCGTCTGACAGTAACCCCATCCTAGTGAGTGGGTGAGTAAGTATGGTCTTACGCCGCTTTTAGCAATATTCCAGCAATATGACGGTGGGGCACACATTGGGCTTCACAAATTGTACCCATGTGGGGAATCGAACCCCGGTCTCCGGCGTGACGAGTCAACGCTTTAACCACTAGGCTACCCCACCGCCCACCCCCACCCACTGTACGTTACTGAGAAAGTGTAACCCAAATATGACATATTGTTATATTTGACCACTTTCGAAAAGGCATTGTGTATATTCATCAGGAGTCGTGTTGGTGACAGTACAATTATTTCCAATCTTAACATGTTTCTCGTGTCTGTCTAGCTGAAATACTGCCGATGTGGCATTAAATGTATATTCCCTCTTCCCCCCCCCCCCCTCCTCCCTCACTAAACGTGGTATGTTAGCAGCAACAACTTGTCATTGGAATCACAGATCATTGAAGCTTATCAAAACTAAATATTACGAAAGTTTACACAGTTTACAACACTGCCTCCCTCTTTATGGGTTTTCAACAGCAACAGGAACATTCATACGAAGTGCATGTTCCCGAATTCATCACGTATCCTTACTTTTAGATACCCTTTTAGATAACTCATTTGAGTCGTTCTCTACCCGTTCGTATCAGTATGGCGTTTATATTATTATGTTTACCTCTATATTCGAAAATAGGTGTCCAACAAACTACGTCAGAGTTGAGAAACAAGCAGATAATACACGTCACTCAACTAAGACGCTGTAACCCTTCCACTTCCAAATACGACAACACTGTCCAAATGTCGACGAATATATTCCATTCATGCATGACAATGTTGACGTTGGGCAAAATACGGTTCACACGTTATAAGGATAATAATAGTTGATGATCGTTTACAAATGACAACAAATCGTAGTGAATGTTGAAAATGATATATTACCAGACGTTCTGGATACAAATCAGTCACACAGAGGCATACATTTGTCCCCGGTGAACCGGGTATTTGTGAATAAGGACGATACAAAGGAAAGTATGACGATTGTGAAACTGTCAGTGTATTTTATTCAGCAGTCCGGCCCTCACAGGACTGCTGGACCGATTGAATTCAATATATTCCCATCTCTGATGTCAGAGGCCAACATGTTGTCTTTACATACACATAGTACTGTTATTATTCATTCAGAATATGTAGTTATGACGTATTGAAGAGAGAGGGTGAAAAGGACACATGGAAATGTCGACATTACATCATGCATATGATATGGCCATCCCAGTAGCCTGAATGGTAGTATAGTGACTTCTACAGGATTGACAAGTTCATTCCATCAATAGCAAGGACAAACATAACCCAATGTACATACTTGCACTGTGTTAAGAATCAGTCCAAATCATCAATTGTTTTCAAGATTACCGGAAGTGAACCCATCCCGAAGGTCATTCAGTGGAATGTGGATTTGACTTCCTTAACAGTCACAGATGTGACTGGGCTCGAATCTTCACGCAACTGCTCGGCATTGGTAACATTATGATGGGTGTGTGAAGTGATCCTCTGTTGGCGAACCCTAGTGGCCAATTTCACCAATATCGGTTGATGTAAAAGTGAAATAATATAGTTTCAAGATTAGGTACAAAATAGAACACATACACAGTTAATACACAGCAGTCAGTGCTGTCGATACAATGGAAGATTGGATTTGGCTGGGTGAAAAACTACCGCTAGGATATGCTATAGGGTCACCAATGTAACATCACCTTTCTCTGAAATACTCCCAGCCATTTTGTGTAGGCTATCAGCATAAGGCAACGAGTTACGTGACACATAATCCGATGTATCCTCCAAAGTCTCTTTCGACCCTGAATCACCAGGGTCTGTATCACTACTTTCAGTGGACAGCGAGCAGGCGTGGTCCTCATTGGTGCTGAGTTCCATGGACAATTCCCTGGGTTGCTGGTGCAGTATAGCGACTTCAACGGAAGAATACGATGGTTTAAGGTCGTTTTGGGACTTGTGGTTATCCTCAGCGACGTGGGAGACGCCGGATGCTGCAACGACACTGTAATCTGGAGGGGGACCTAGGTTATCTTCTGTGTCGACCACGACACTCTCATACGACGGGGGAGCGTACAGTCGCGTCATGGAAGTGCGCACCGTGCCATTACTCGCCCAGCGGACACAGGACTTGGGTTTGAACTCACTGTAAAACATACATGTCTGGTACAGCTCTTGTTACAGTGAGTGACATTGTTTCAGTCAGCGATATTTATATACAGCAACACGCATACTGGATCACTGTTTCTTTATATTCCAATAACTTTAGAAGAATATGTACGAGATCGCTAGAAACGTCAGTGCATTGCTTATTAAAATATTCATTAAATGGTAACGTTAATTTCTACATGGTCATTAATAGACACATATTTAATGGATACTTGTGTCTAAGGAGTATGTTTGCAAATAAGCAAGTTTGTGACTACATCACAGAAGTAAGGTAAATACTATCTCAGTGGTGTCTTCAGGCATAATCATGTGAATGCTGCACACATATTGAAGAGCGTGACGTACTGCTTGTGGTTATGTTTCTTCACCCAGCACATCGCGGCGGTGACCACGAGGAGGAACACGGCACACGACACGATTGCTGCAACAACCGCGTGCACTACGGAATCTGAAACATAGAAACATTGACTAGTGATACGTGCAGACAACAACTTACACATGGACATTAGGGGTGGGTGAACGTCTAGTTGATTAACTTCATGTGTTTCATATTTGCCTGTTTTCACAGACAATATTTTTTTGTTGTTTTTTAATCACACGTGCAGTTATGAAAGCAGAGACAGTTCTCGAATTTTCCGTTGCATTTTATACAGTTGCGATTGACACAAAAATAACGATTTTGATAAAATGTAACTCAATACCAGATGACAGATACTTACTCACTGGTATAGTGAGAACTTATCCAAGTTATAAATGTGGTTCAAGGGAGGAGATTGACGAACAGTAAGTAAGTTTCTGACTGGTCCAATCTAAAACACCTCAAAGTGACTGAGTGAGTGAGTTTAGTTTTACACCGCACTCAGTAATATTCCAGCTATATGGCGGCGGTCTGTAAATAATCGAGTCTGGACCAGACAATCCAGTGATCAACAGCATGAGCATCGATTTGCGCAATTGGGAACCGATGACATGTGTCAACCAAGTCAGCGAGCCTGACAACCCGATCCCGTCAGTCGCCTCTTACGACAAGCATGGGTTACTGAAGATCAGTATTCTAACCCGGACCTTCACGGGTAAAACACCTCAAAGTTAAACACTGATCACCGCTCAGGAAAATAGAGAGACGAAGGTATTTATTTCAAATGTATTTTTTCTTTAAAATATCTTTGTCACTGATACTCTCTTTTCCGAAGTGTGTTTTGAAATTTTGCATTTATTTTCTTCATTCTCGTCCGGACAATCTAACTATGCATGTCAGAGACGTTAAAAAAGTCATTTGGTACTGGTGCCACAAACAAACTGCATCTGTTATATTGATAGAACACCATGCGATTCAAAACACATCAGATAAGGAAAACGATATCTGGTACAAAATAACTTGTACCGGTGACACTTCACAATCGTCGGCCTAGACACTCACAAGAGTCCAGAAGATCGGTAGTTGCCTCGGCTCTGGCGTGACAATGGTGTTCATCCGAGCCGTCCCGGCTGCCGCAGTTGGCGAGCCCGTCACAGTGAAGTCTCGGGGATATGCACATATGCTCTGTCACGCATGTAAGAAGGCCATGCTGACACCCGCCATGACGCTGTGTGGCTGCAACATCGTTTATGGACATTAAATACAACGGTTCTCTGTCCAACAAACACTAGTAAGTGATCATTTAAGTTAGTGAAGCAAAGACGACTATCAACCAGTTACCTTTGTACTTGATTGACATGGTTAAAGGACGGAATAGTTCTGCGATTAATTTATGTCCTTATATACTCTCCCAAAAAAGAAACGCATCATGAAAATAGCAATTTCATGTAGCAATGAATTAAAACGTGATTCATTTTACAAAAAGGTTTTGCTCTGTTTATGAGTCCTATGGTGTTTATGTTTTGAAACATCACAACAAAACGCACCATCCGTAAAATACCCGTATTTAACAGCATGATTTTCAATTTCGGCGTGTAGTGTCACAGAATACACAATTCACTTGCAATGCACGTGAAAGCTGGGAATCAGATAGTCTCAATGATGGGTATAAAAGGTTGATCGCTGTCTGTGGATTATTCACTGTATTTGGAATATTGTTGACGAACGCAAAATGCCACGTCTAAGTGAAGCCAACCGTCATATCGCCATTGGTTTGCTTGAAACTGGCCAGTCTCAACGTGCAGTTGCCCCACGCATGAATGTTCACCAAAGCACCATTTCACGGCTCTGGGAGAGATATCAGCGGCAGAATTCGGTAGCAGATGCCCCTCGTAGTGGGCGACCTCGAGCGACCACTGCTGTGCAGGATCGCTACATCCGGGTACATCACCTGCGTCATCGAACGGCTACGGCGACAAGTACCGCTCGACAAATACCCGGATTGAGGAGGCTTTCTGCACAGACCGTCAGTAACAGGTTGAGTGAGGCTGGTTTACGTGCCAGAAGACTTATTTTGGCCCTGTGCTTCGACAACCACATCGTCGACATCGAGTTCAATGGTGCACCAACGTTCAGGCCTGGAACCTACCGAATTGGCGTAAAATCTGGTTCAGTGATGAATCACGATTTCTATTGGAACGACGCGATGGAAGAATGCGGGTGTACAGACGTCGACGTGAAAGTTTCGCCGACGCTTGCGTTCCCCAGGTGGACAGATTCGGCCGGGGAAGTGTTATGATGTGGGGAGAGATCACCTGTAGTAGGAGAAGTGATTTGGTGATGATCCAGGGCAACCTGACAGCTCAACGGTACTGTGACGAAATCCTACGCCCACACCTCCTTCCAATCATTGATCGCCAGAGGGAGTTGTTTCAACAGGACAATGCCAGGCCCCACACAGCACGTCACACTAGAGACTTCCTCCAGAACCACAAGATCAATGTGCTCCCCTGGCCCTCAAGATCACCGGACTTAAACCCGTTCGAACGTCTATGGGATGCCCTGGACAGACGGGTGCGACGCCGTAACCCTCAGCCCCAGACACTTCAGCAACTCGCACAGGCACTACAGGCAGAGTGGGCTGCAATTGGGCAACACGAGATTCTGAGACTTATTCGTTCGATGCCGAGGCGATGTATTGCAGGTCTGGATGCCCACGGTGGTCACACGAGGTATTGACTTCAGCGCCACCACACGTCTCCATGTTACACTCAAACTGACTTTCCTCGAGTTGGTGCCAAAGACGGATAAGTGTGCATTCCCAATGTGCAATTTCGCTATATTTCATTGACTCATAAAGCCTACAAGATGTTTCAAAATAAACATAAAAATACAGTTGAAATTCCTATATGCGTTTCTTTTTTGGGAGAGTATATGTATACAGTGGGCAGCTTCGTTTACTGTTTGCAAGGATCACATAGTAATTTGGTTTTACTGTATACGTTATGTTATAGTGTGGTTGGACTGTTTTGGGTGGGTGGTTGTATGGTGTGGGAATCAGTGGGCCGAGTACAGAAGAGAAAGCATGGGAAATGTGAGTAAATGTCAGGTGTAGTAAGTGCAGTCATGAGAGAGCCCATTTGCGGTATGGCTGGTTGAAGAAGTGTCTGGTTATGTAGAATTTGCGAAATATACATGGCGTCATTAACGAAAGGTCAAGCTATTGTTAACACTATTTCTTAAAAGTTGTGAAATCTCGTTTTTGTTTGAAATATATACAACTGAATGTTTTACAGTATGGAAAAACACATCAGGCCGTTCAAAGGTCATTTTTACGTTCTTTAACATCCGATACATTCTGTTACAAATGGCACATTTGTTATTCAAATTGTTAATATGGAAATCCACCTGCCACCTAATGTCAATGATTAGCAATTGCAAGTGGAGGACAATGCACATGCATTGATGCTTTTTCACTGTCGTTCACTGTTCAGGTACCTGTTTGAAATCGCAGCTTAAGATGAGACGTTTTTTGACACTTGCCGAAAGGGGTCAGGCTATAGGCCTTTTGGAATCTGGTCAAACTCAGCGGCAGGTTGCTGTCCGCTTTAATGTGAGTCAGAGTGCTGTGGAGAGATTTAAAGCCAAAGGGTCGTGGAATATGCACGTCGACCAGGTCGCCCGAGAGTCACAACAGTCCGAGATGATTAACATTGCGTTACGTAATAGATTCCTTAACTCAGCAGATCTTCAGGCAGAACACTTCAATGTTAACAATGCAAAGATATCCAGGAGCACCGTTCGTCGAAGTTTAAGGGCAGGCGAACTCTGCTGACACCACTAACTCCGCATCCACCACTAACACCACGTCACAGGCAGGTGCATTTGAGATGGAGTAGACATCATCGGATCTGGAATCAACGTCAATGGTCTCGTGTGCTCTACACAGATGAAAGCAGATTCAATGTGTCCTTCAAGAATGGTCGGCAGAGGATTTATCGTCGCAATGGAGAGCGAATCACAGATGCAACTGTGGCCATGCATAACCGATTCCGATGGGGGTCAGTCATTGTTTGGGCAGGGATAACTCCTACTGGACGTACTCCACTGCACGTGGTCGACGGTAATCTTACCGGACAGTGTTATCGGGACGAGCTTCTGGCTCCTATAGCAATACCATTCCTGAGAAGCAATGCATGGCTTTTATGGTTGACCCTCTTTACTGCAAGACGACAACGCTAGGCCTCATAGGGCCAGGGTTGTCACGGAATTCTCTAGGTTACAGTGTGTAGAGCGGATGGAGTGGCCAGCATGTTCGCCAGACCTCAACCCAATTGAGCATGTTTGGGATGAACTCGGTGGACGTGTGTACACACGTAACCTTGCACCAGTGGATCTCCCAGGACTTCGCAGAGCTCTAGTAGAGGAATGGAATGCGATTCCGCAAACTTTCTTTATGAAATTGATAAAGAGCATGAGAACAAGGTGCACCTGTTTCTTGTACGCGCGAGGAGGGTACACAAGATATTGAATGACCGAGTGCTTCATGTTTGTCATTTTCATTTTGGGGGGTTGGTCTTTACAACTGATGTTTACTAGTGCTGTTTAAAACTTTTTGTCTGTGTGTCACGATGTGTCACGTTTGTCAACACACAAAACTCTTAGTTCCATTATTTCTGAGAAACATTTCTTTACATGTGCTATATATCCTTTGACTTTATTAATGACGACTAGTATATTTGTAAATTATATTTTTGTCTGCATTTCTCTTATAATTTAGAATAAATTCCATTTATTCTATATTCTGCCTTTTGCCATCCATCTCATATTGTGACACTGTTTGGTCTTTGATTATAAGTACTCACGTGTATATACTGTGAGGAGCAGACGGAACCCTTGGTACATCACTGTGGGCTTCCCGAAATAGTCAACACGGATCTTGTTGCTGGAAGACTTGTAGTCCCGGACAGGAACTCGAGCCGTGTTAGAATTATAGTATGGATGTTCCAGTACTCCATATATACCACTGGGTGGGGTCACACGCACTCGCTTACCGTCATCATTGTAATCATAGACGTGTAATCTACAAGGAGAACGAACCGTGTTAAACACCCAAGTATATGGAAAATACTGCAAGTTTGGTCATAGGCCATGTGTGATAACAGACAGCACAGTTGCCTTGTTTCTTCTCTGGTAATATATTTGTAAAATGTTGGTGTTCCATTCGGCTTCCAAAGTAGAAGGGCCTGCGTCATATTCCAAAACCAAAGCAGATTCCAAATTTACATGGTACAGTTTTAAAAAATAGAGCACTCATCCCCTCAGAAATATGTATCAGAGAAAATATGTTGGAAATCCTATTTGGGTGTTTCCTACAATAAGCGAATTACATTTCATCCAATGCTTAAGGAAAATTTCTGGGAAACTTAAACTACAAAGTAAAGAAATTATTCGTGTGTTGACACCCAGTTTTATGTCATTCTTTCATATTTACGTAATGTCAGCCATTTACGGACTCTATTTGGAGTGACGGGTATTGTTAACATTGGAAAATGGCCTTTGAAAGAACGCCAATAGCAATTTTGAAAGTGACCCATAAATATTTGATCGCACAAAAGACTCGCAGAAAGTTTTTGCAGTTATGAAAAGCATTTTGTCACTGTTATTATTATCGTCATTGTTACTGACTTGTAAACCATTTGAAGCTTCATAAAAATATTCCACAGTGAGTCGCTCGTAAAATGTTCTTCTGCTTCAATTTATTCACGAGCGTCAGGTATTCTGCTTGTGTTTAATTTATTCATTATTCCATGTCAAGTTACAGAGCGACTGGTAAATACAATGAGATGATTAATGAAACAGTTGTGATAGTGTACAGATAAGCCGTTTGTAAAGCAGTCACCTGTCTTTGGTTCCCGCATCGGCAGAGATGCTGATAGCCTCGTAGTGGAGGAAGAGTCGCTGTGATGGAGTCGTTTCCACATCAACAGCGCAGTGTCTGAACCCGGTAAGTGAACGGTCTTCTGCAAACTCACGCGTCAGCTCCAGTATCAGACTTGTATTCACATAGATGGGAACACCGGACTTGCACGAGTTGATCATGTACTTCACGGGTGTCCCTGCACCTGAAATGTGGGGAAATGTTCACTCGGCTGTTGGCTTGAAATAATTGGGTTAACTAAGATATTAGTTCTTATAAGTGATTTCCATACGTTTTATGTACTTTACAATTCAGTACACGAGTATCACGTGAAAACTTCAAGAATACACACACGCACGCACGCACGCACGCACGCACGCACGCGATATTTCAGCACTTCCAACAGTTGGTAAAGCTGATTTTGGTTTTGTGATTTTGCTGCTCTCCCTGGGTGCTTCATCGTAATGACATTTTCTGTGACACTGTCATGGTTTGGGTTGAAAGATAGTGACTGGAACATCGTTCATATGGACTACAACATTGTTGAGACACACTTCATTAAGAAACCCTGTTCTGATCTCAATGCAACATTCAAAGTTTTGTAATTAAGATTTGTTTTCAGAACGCCGTTGTATGAGTCAATACAATGTCACCTAAAGTACATCACGACATGGACTCATGTACAGATAAAACCCATTGTATGGGCCAGTCAGCTGCGAACACTGTCTTCATTCATACATATATATTGTTTTAATTTGTCATAATCCTAATACATATATTGCAGAAATATTACCTGCGCAACAATATGCTTCTTGTAAGGTAATTAATTATCATTCAGTTGAATGAATGTACCATGTTCGACAAGTAGAGCCAGCCAGCACGGACATTGCCACAAAGGTGGCAGATACCATAATGAGATCACTTAACATTATGTATGAGTTGACGACATCGGAGTAGACGCTCGCCATGTACACGTGTACTTGCAATCACGTCCTCGATTACCCCCACGTTCTGCTTGGTACTTCCCACCGCACAAGTAATATGTGGAACACGCGGCATTAGAGTGACGTACGGGATCTCCCTTCTCGGGGTGTGCAGAAACGTTAACCTCGAGGAACCTTACACCCTGTCGCGACATCAAATTACCCACTGTGGCTAGGATCTATTCTGTGAGTTCTATTCTCGTAATTGAGTCACAGTGATATAGAGCATAAACATATATATTTGCTAAGATTTGCGTGGAACCGTTATGTTCCTATATATATATTTAGCGATTCTTGTCAGTAAGGGCACATAGGAACCATTCATCAGGACCTTAAACCTTTCTATGGCTGGATAATTATAGAAAGACATATCTGTCTGGCGATTTTGCAAAGATGGACATTGAAGTAAAACATCAAATTCATCCCCAACACAAGTGTTGCATAAAGTACAAGTTCTTTCTGATTTTCAATATTTTGCCATCTACCTTTTTTCTATTGGTAACCTTGGCTTTGACTTTCTAATCTTACAGTCCATTACTAATATGGTAAATGTAACAAAAGTTCATCAATACGAGGTTTTCTATAAGCGTACCATAATATTAATATATAATGGTGATTTCTCTGCCGTTTTACTCTCTTTTTCTGATAAAATTGGTCTAACAAAATTAATTTAACACTGCATTTTAACCAAGAATGCAAGGGAACGACTAAGAATGAGAATCCCCCACCCGTTTTGAGATGTTATTAAAACTAACCTGTTGTGATCATTGAAGAACATTGTGTTGAACACAGTTTCTCGGGGGATAATATAGCTTTACACAATTACTGAATTGAATTTCACGTTGGTACCGCCCAAATTCCTCATACGACATCTAATCAGGGCTTGGTTGTTTTAAATCAAGAATATATATTTTCAAAATTTCAAATGCAGGCGTTCTATTACCCTCAAGTTTTCATATCCTCAAAATTCAGAAGCAAAAGACGATATAGGTTGTACTAGTTGATCAGCATTCTTTCAACATGTCCACATTATTATTGTGAAGAGTAACGTTAATTACGTTTTTTAAAAGGCGTTTCGAATAGATAAGTATGGTATAAGGAATTCAATGCTTTTTCTTCTGGTATCTGCAAAGAATAGGATGAGGAGTTTCATGTACAATCCTAACTGTGTTACAAGTGCTTCAATTACATCATATAAACTTACATTTCTCTTTAAGAGGAATAATAATAATAATAATACTGGAAATTTATATAGCGCTAAATCCAACCACTAAGTGGGTGCTCAAAGCGCTACAAAATAATAATAATATTTGAATAGAGTGAATAGTGCAATGGAAAGAGATGCGTTTTAAGATGTGATTTGAACGCAGCAAAAGATGGGGACAGTTTTAAGGCGAGGGGCAGTTCATTCCACAGCCATGGAGCACAAACACTGAAAGGACGCTTTCCATAAGAGGCCAGTCTATAAGAAGGAGTTTTAAAAAAGAATCTGCTTTCAGATCGCAGTTGTCTGGATGGTTTGTAGGGGGTTAGCAGTTCACTTAGATATTCTGGTGACATGCCTTTTAGACTCTTGAATGTGATACAGAGTACTATAAACACTATCCTCGCCTCAACCGGAAGCCAGTGTAATGACAGAGAGTACTTTGGGGCACGTGTAACGATTCTTGCCGCTACATTTTGGACTTTTTGAAGTCTCCTCAGAGATTCTTTACTGATGCCTAGAAGCAAACTGTTCGCATAGTCCAACCTCGAGAGTACCAAACACTGTACTAATGTCTTGGCTGCATCAAGTGATATCAGATGACGAATTTTACTGATACATCTGAGATGATAGACAGGTCTTGCACAAATTGTCAACTTGATAATCCATGGACAACTCGAAGTCAAAATAGACACCAAAGTTTTTTACCCTGGATGAGAAGTCTACAACAGAGTTGCCAATCACAAGTTTTAAGTGCTTGTCAGTTGACATCTGAAGCTGTTGCTTAGAGCCTACCAACATAGCCTCAGTTTTTCCATTATTAAGTTTCAGTTTGCTACATGCCTTCCAAGATTTTATCTCTGATGCACATACACTTGTTTTCTGAAGGGATTCAGCAACTTGTGAAACTTCAAAACTACAGGACTTGAGTATCATCAGCATATAATTGGTGATCGAGATCATGCCGTTTTATGATCCCGGCAAGTTGATTCGTATACATCACAAAGAGTAAAGGGCCAAGAAGCGATCCCTGTGGTACTCCACATGTAACATTGGCACAGTAAGATTGTTTGTCTCCTATGATAACATACTGACTTCGGCCGTCAAGATAAGATTGGATCCAGGTAAGAGGAACACCAAGAATGTTCATCTCATCCTTGACTCGTTGGAGAAGCTGTTGATGATCCACTGTGTCAAACGCCGCTGAGAGACCCAATAATGTAAGATACGCCATATGGCCCTTGTCAACCTTGGTCCTCAGTTCATTCAGTACCCACAATAATGCTGTCTCGGTACTGTGATTGGTGCGATAAGCAGACTGAAAGTCATCCAGCAGTTTATTGTTCACCAGATGTTCTCTCATTTGCTGCCATCTCCAAAACCTTTGAAAGAAAAGTAAGATTAGATACAGGTCTATAATAACTAATGAATTTCGATCCAGGTTGTTCTTCTTTATAAGAGGTCTGACAACTGCCTTCTTGAGGACTTCCGGAAAAACACCTGAAGACAAGCTAGTATTTATTATGTTAGTAATGGCCGGCAGCAAGATGTCCAAATGATCAAAAAGCAGTTTGGTAGGAAGTGGGTCCAACAGGCATGTGGTCCTCTTTGAACACTTAAGCAGCTTCTCAACTTCCTCTTGGGTGAATGTTTGAAATTGAACAAGATCCTCAATTTCACGAGAGCTATCACTTGATGTCTTGGGAGGCAGATCATCATGTTTGAAACCATCCTTGATCTTTGCGATTTTATCCTCAAAATAGCCTGAGAAAGAGTCAGCAAGAGTCTTCTTGCAAGTATGATCCGGTAACTTAGGATCCTCTTCTCTACCAAGTAGTTGCTTCATAAAATTATGAAGTTTACCAGGATTCCCTTCCATTCCCTTTATCCTATTTGTAATCACTTCCATTTTTGCAGTACGAATAATCCGGTTGAGATCATTCCTAGCACTCTTGTATATCTGTCGATGTACTTCAAGGCCAGACTTTCGCCACTGACGTTCAGCTATGCGACGTTTACGTTTAGCCTTCAGAACACGTTCATCATGCCAGTATGAGCTTTCCCGATCACTCACTTTCTTTGTAACGACTGGAGCATGTTTCTGAAGAACATTTGTCAGAGTTTCATTGTAAAGTTGAACCAGTTCATTCACATCCTGCGGTGGATTACATACAAGCTCAGAAAGAGCAATATCTCTTCTAAACTCTTCAACGTTCATATTCTTTACATTCCGACAGTAAATAGTCCTTGAGGAGTTCTTTGGTTTCACCATATTCCAGGACATTGTTATCACAAAATGGTCCGACAATTGCATATCAGTAACTGTAGTGTCCATTATGATGTGACCATTCTCAGATGATATAACCCAATCCAGGGTGACCATTCTCAGATGATATAAGCCAATCCAGGGTGACCATTCTCAGATGATATAACCCAATCCAGGGTGACCATTCTCAGATGATATAACCCAATCCAGGGTGACCATTCTCAGATGATATAACCCAATCCAGGGTGACCATTCTCAGATGATATAACCCAATCCAGGGTGACCATTCTCAGATGATATATAACCCAATCCAGGGTGACCATTCTCAGATGATATAACCCAATCCAGGGTATGACCAGATTTATGGGTAGCACTCAGCACATCACGAGGTTTCAATGACATCATCTGCTTAAAGATATCAATGTATGTAACCTGTGTAGCATGGCACATTTCTTCAATGACCTGGTTGAGTTGTCTTGTCTTACTGTTATACCATGATGGAGGTAGTACAGAGCACACATTGGTCATATCCTTCGTGACATTTAGTAGTGAGTCAAATTCCTCGACAATTTCTTCTATGGGCCGCTCAGAAACATTGTTATCCCCTGTAACAAAGACTATATTTTGCGTTGTAGAGTTTTGTTTCAATAGAAGAGGCAACCTATCACGAATTTCAACTACTTTTGCTTCCTTGTTTGTGTCCACGGCAAAGATGAGATGTGAGAATAGAACTGCTCATATTTTTCAACATG